GGACTGGCTTTTTTTTTTTTTAAGAGATTTTTGCTATAGGGCACATGCACTCACCAGAGAGACAGACAGAGAGACAGAAAGTGAGAAACTACCTCTCAGGGGGGATGGCCATGCCACAATCCCTTCTCCTCTGTTGTCCTCTCAGGCATGCATGCACACACACCCGGCATGAGTTTTAAGCCACCGGGTACAGGACTTGAACCATGGTCAACCACATAGTAATCCAGCAACATAACCACCACAGCATCTGTCGGTCCCAGGACTGGCTTTTTACTTATTTTGTGCCTAACTATATCCCTACCCCTCAGAATCCCTGGCAGTTAGACCCTCAAGTCTATTCTTCAATCAAATGAATAAAGCGAAGGCCATCGCAGCCATGCACGGGCCTCTCCCAGCGATCTGCTGAGCATGTAATCTATAAAACATGCTATTGACATGACAGATGCTCTGGGTCAGGGATCCTAGGGGAGGGGCTTCACGTGGGAAGTGGTTGAGACCACGGTGGGAGGCAGCTGTATGAGACACCCTTCTGTCCGCAACTAACGAGCCACCTGCTTCTCCAGCTCCACAAGCAGCAGGCCCAGGCCGAACCTGAGAGGCACGTGTGGCACCGCCGAGAGAGTGATGAGAGTGGGGAGAGTGCCCCTGAAGAGGGAGCAGAGGGTGCCCGGGCCCCCCAGCCTATCCCCCGCTCTGCCAGCTATCCCTGTGCTGCACCCCGGCCTGGGGCACCTGAGACCACCGCCCTGCACGGGGGCTTCCAGAGGCGCTACGGGGGCATCACAGGTATTCAGTGGGGATGGGTCCAGGAGGAAACCGAGTCTGCAGGGAAGGGTGGTGCCCAAAGGGAGGACAGAGGCCAGAGGGACTGGGCCCAAGGAACCAACCTCCTGAGCAGTCCTCGGACCCATCTTTCTATTCCTGTCTACGTTCCTCCTAAGAATATGCTTATTGTCACGCTAGATCCTGGCACGGTGCCCCGGGCTTCCTCTCACTTCTCTCGCCTGCCCCTTGGAGGGTGGGCTGAAGATGGGCAGTCAGCGTCGAGGCACCCTGAGCCCGTGCCTGAGGAGGGCTCGGAGGATGAGCTTCCCCCTCAGGTGCACAAGGTAAGGCCCCAGGACCCAAGAACGCCTGCGCGAAGTACTGAATACTCACTTCCACGCTGAGGTTATAGCTCCTCACAGGAGGGAGGGTGCGCCCCCACCCACATGCAGAGGTACTGCACACTCCCCTCCCAAATACACTCCCCTTTCTTCCCGCCACTGCTCAGATGTCCAGGGCTTGCGTTTGCCTTCCCTTAGCTCCCGGGGACTCAAGCTTCCCTTTTCCTTTATCTGTAGGCTTGTGTAGGGCAAGCACACCGCTGAAGACCCTCTCCACTACCAGTTGTTTTCTCTCCACAGGTATAGACAAGGCTGAGGAGGGTCCCCATGCCTCAGGATGGGGGCCACTGCTGCCCTGCCATCCCATCTGCCCGCCATGAGAGGGCGCCTCTGAGTGTTGCCTGGCTCCACGTGTGTGGTGTTTGTGTGTCTGTGCCTGGCCCAGGGAGGTGCCAACACTGGGCTTGCCAGCCCCAGGAGAGGAATTTGGGGCCCAGAAACCAGGGGCACACAGAACTCTAGCCTCATGCCCAGGACCCCCTTGGCTCAGAGTGTGGTGCTAGAAACTGGTCCCCAACCCAGCCCCAGTACTGCCACCTTTGCGCGCTGACCCCTGCAAGTCTCCTAGGGCTGCCCACCACAGAAGCTGCCAAGCAGGGAGAACCTGTGCCAACTTTGGAGTGGGGAGGCTGGGCCTGGACCCTCGCCCCCTGCAGCCTGTCCCCGCCCTGACTAGAGGAGCAGCCCAGGCTGTGGCTCATACCTCACCTAGTTGTCGCCCAGTGCTGCAGCCAGCTCACCTCTTCTGCTTCCTGCACACCACAGGCATGTGCGTGCTGCCTGCTCCCGTTCTGTTCTGCTTGCTCCCCTTCTTTTCGGCTTTGCCTTTGGGTGGAGGCCCTAGCTCCTAGCTCCCTTCACGCCATCTTTTGACACTAAGGAGGAAGGTTTCTAAATTGCAGGAGCAGGATGGAAATTCTTCGCTGCCCTCTCCAACTTTTAGAATGGGCCCTGGGAGAATAAGACCTTTCTGGGCTCCCATTGCTGCTTATTGTACCCCCTGCCCCCACATACCTGCACTTGGGACTGACAGGGTTGGAGCGTGACCTCGGCTGTCTGTGTCCCAGCAAGAAAGCTCTGGCCTGCATCCTGCTGTCCCCTAGAGGGGGATGGAGGGGCATTGGACTCGTCCTAGGCTTTGAGCTGCATTGCATGCTGGGATTCAGCTCCTGCCCTCTGCCCACCCCTCATCCAACTCTGGTCCTCTGCAGAAGAGTGAACTGCGCTGCCGGAACTCAAGTGGACCAGGGTGGGGACAGTGTACAGCGTGATAACCCTTAATAAAAAAGGGACTTTGACCAGATGCAGCCTCTTGTCTCACAGCTAGGATCCTGGGACCCAGAAGGGCGGGGTGTGTGTGCTAGCCCCCGGTGCCTGGGTTGCGGGAAAGCCGGACTGGGATCTGGAAGAAAGTGGGCCTATGCTGCCTCTCGGATACACCCACCCAGTGGGCTAGCTGCAGGGCATTTTCCGACCCACAGTTCTGTGGAGGTCAAAGTCTCCAGCAGGACGCGCGGTCAGATTTCCCGCCCTAGGCACGTGACAAAGCGGCTCAGCCTGTATTTTGCGTTGGTCGCGTACACCAGTTCTCCCCGCCCCTACGAAGGCATTTGGCCAATGGGACCCCGAATAGGGGCTGGGGGCGGGTCTGTGGGGCGGGTCTGCCGAGGTACAATGCGGCGCGAGTCGGATGCTGAACATTCCTGTGGACCCCGAGTTAGCAAGAGGGTCTGGGGCCGAGCGCGAGGTGGGACGAGCGGAGACGGCGTACGTGCCCTGCGTGAGTGCGTGGCGGCGGCGCGTGCGCGAAGTGAGTGGGCGGTGTGGCCGGGTCCACGTGCGTCCCTCCCCGCGACCACCGCCGCCTTGAGCCAGGCGGCTCCATGACCCGACTCACCCCGGCATCCGCTCCAGTCCCCTAGCGGCCCTTCCCAGTCTCCGGTCCCACAGTGTCTGCAGCCTCGGCCGGCGGCCCCGCATTGCCATGGTGACTGTGGGCAACTACTGCGAGGCCGAAGGGCCCGTGGGTCCGGCCTGGGTGCAGGATGGCCTGAGTCCCTGCTTCTTCTTCACGCTGCTGCCCTCGACCCGGATGGCCTTGGGGGCTCTGGCCTTGGTACTGGTTCTTCCCTGCAAGCGGGGGGAGCGGCCCACCGGCCCCGACGCGCTGTCTTGGGGGCCCGGCCCTCTGGTCGCTCCCTACGTGCTGCAGCTGTTTCTGGCCACACTTCAGGCGTTGCTGCCCCTGGCCGGCCTCGCTGGGCGGGCAGGCACTGCCCAGGGAGCCCCACTGCCAAGCTACCTACTCCTGGCCTCTCTACTGGAGAGTCTGGCCAGTGTCTGTGGCCTGTGGCTACTGGTGGTGGAGCGGAGCCAGGCACAGCAGAGTCTGGCAATGGGCGTCTGGATCAAGTTCAGGCACAGCCCGGGTCTCCTGCTTCTCTGGACTGTGGCGTTTGCAGCGGAGAACTTGGCCCTGGTGTCTTGGAACAGCCCACAGTGGTGGTGGGCGAGGGCCGACGTAGGCCAGCAGGTGAGGGGCCTTGTGGGGAGAGGGCAAGCATCGGCGCAGGGCTTGGGAAGAAATGCTCTGAATCTGTTCATACTGGCTCCATGCTTTGGGAAGCTTCAAAGAAAAGGAAGAAGGGGGAGCAGCACCTGCTGTGAGCTGATAGCCAGCTGGTGGGGCGTGTCCCTGCTGAGTCACTGTGGGTTTTTTTCCCAAGCCTATTAGGTGCCGGGCCCCTGAGGAGGACCTGGGTGTGTTCTCCAGACCAGTCCCCAGCCCTGTTAGGAGCAGTAGTGGAATACTGGAATCTTGGCCTTCACTGACGCCCTCCCCACATGTTCTATTTTAGGTTCAGTTTAGCCTGTGGGTGCTGCGGTATGTGGTCTCTGGAGGACTGTTTGTCCTGGGGCTCTGGGCCCCTGGGCTTCGCCCCCAGTCCTACACCTTGCGTGTTCAAGAAGAGGATCAAGATGTGGAAAGGAGACAGGTACACCTCAGTGTCTGAATCCTGGGGTCTATCTTCATGTCATTCTCTGTTGTCATCCCTTCCTCTCCTCCACAATGCATCCTTCTCCCCCAAATCTCAGTTTGTGGCCTGCTAGCTTTTCTGACCCCATCAGGGATCACTTGTAGGTCTAAGATATTTGAGAGGTGTAACCCTGTAAGTTCTTTGTAGAGGGCTATTGGATGGGGCACTTCTTTCTGCCATCTGACCTCCCTTCCCCTCGGATTCACCCTGCAGGCTCCGTCAGCAGAGCAGCGGTCTACCTGGCGAGACCTGGGCCGGAAGCTCCGTCTACTGAGTGGCTACCTGTGGCCACGGGGGAGTCCAGCTCTTCAGCTGGTTGTGCTCATCTGCCTGGGGCTCATGGGGTTGGACCGGGCACTCAACGTGTTGGTCCCCATCTTCTACAGAGACATCGGTGAGACAACCAGGATGTCGACTCAACCTGTGTCCTTCATTGGCCTGTGGCAGGTGGCTCTTACCAAGGCAGGAGAGACAGAGTTGGGAGTCTGGTGGTCAGAATATAGGCTGTGGCTGGTGCCTGGGTCAGTTTTGCCTGGAGTCCCGGGTGCCGGAAGAGGCCTCTAACTCATTTTCTCTGTAGTGAACTTGCTAACTGACAAGGCACCCTGGAGCTCCCTGGCCTGGACTGTCTCTACCTACGTCTTCCTCAAGTTCCTCCAGGGTGGCGGCACTGGCAGTACAGGTTTGAGGGATTCTGTTTGCCCTGGGTCATACCTCTTTGAGTGTCCCTCCCTCACGCCGCTTCATGCTCCCAGACTCTTCACATCCTTGTGCTGGGCTGACGTCCCTCAGCCCCCATGCCCTCCTGAGTCCTGGCCCGACCCCCTCCAGGCTTTGTGAGCAACCTGCGGACGTTCCTGTGGATCCGGGTGCAGCAGTTCACTTCGCGGCGGGTGGAGTTGCGCCTCTTCTCACACCTGCACGAGCTCTCGCTGCGCTGGCACCTGGGGCGCCGCACGGGGGAGGTGCTGCGGATAGTGGACCGGGGCACGTCCAGCGTCACAGGGTTGCTAAGGTACCACACCAGGGGCAGGGGTATGTGGGACAGTGGAGCTGGAGAAGTGGGGCTGGAGGGGCTACCAAGAAAGGAGACCCAGCCTGAGCAGCTACCCCTTTGACTGTGGGGGTTTTTTTTTTAGAATTTTTTTAAGAATTATTTTAACTTTTTATTTATTTATTGTTATTATTTTCCAGTTTGATTAGAGAGAGAGAGTGGGAAAGTGAGAAAGCAAGCCACCAAGTCCAGGCCTTGAACTGTGGTGAGCCATGTGGGAGACCAGCGCCTTTAAATACCACGCCACCTGCTGGCCCCTTGATTGTTTTTTTTTTTTTTTTTTTTTTTGTAGTTTGCTATAGAGCCTGTACACTCACCAGAGAGAGGGGGAGAGAGAAGAAAAGTGAGGAAGCACTCTTGAAGGGGAATGGCCACACCAGAATCTTCTTCATTCTCCTCTCAGGATTTGGGGCATGCACGCACGTGCTCCCTGGCATGATTTTTAAGTCCCCTGATCTAGGACTCCAACCATGCAGTTGGCCCTGTGGGATCCAGCTGCTTTAACTACCCCACCAGGCTGGCCTTCCTTTTTAAGTTTATGATTAATGTACACATGCTCCCATAATAATTCAAAAATCCAGACAGAGTGCAAATCTTTTTTGAACTCCACTCACATCTCCAGAGGTTCCTACTTGGTTCAGGGTGCTGACTTCTGCTTTTATTTTTATTGCCAGAGAGTGTGTGTGTGTTTCCAAAGAGACAGAAAGACAAACAGGGGGAGAAAGCACCTCCCTACGGGGCATGGTAGCACTCCGGTCCTTCTTCATTTCTCCATCCCATTTGGACCCCCACACACACATCCAGCAAGTTCTTCAAGCCACCAGGTTTGGGATTCAAACTGTGACCAACCATGTGGGATCCAGCTCCCTTAACCACTAGGCTATGAAGCTGGCCATGAGTTCTTTTTTTGCATTTTCCCAAACCTGTATGTATGTAGACTCACAGAACTGGTGTAGTGTTGTGGAGATCTTCCCCAAAACAGATGGTATCATGTAGCTGTCATTCTCAGAGTTGCCTTATTAACCAGGCAGTATGGAAGGGCACTCTCATTCATGCATGAAGATCTCCCTTATTTGTTGGAGTTGCTGCAGAGAACTGTGTAGATGGTGGATGCTACAGTTTAATTTTTTTAATTTATTTTTAAAAAACATTATTTATTTAACTTTTTTTTTTTTAATTGGACCAGAGAGAAAGGGGGAGTGAGAAGGCAAGCCACCAAGTCTGGGACTCGAACTGTGGTTGGCCACAGAACTGCACCACTCGCCAGCTCCATGGATATTCTGGTTCATTGGCCGTCTACCTCTTGAGGAGCATTTAAATGGATCCCAACATGTCATTATTGAAAACAAAACACTGAAACTCTCAGAGGTGGGGTTGGTGGGTCCAAGCCCCCCCCCCAAACTTTTCTTTATTCTCTTCCTAGCTACCTGGTGTTCAACGTCATGCCCACCCTGGCCGACATCATCATCGGCATCATCTATTTCAGCATGTTCTTCAATGCCTGGTTCGGCCTCATCGTGTTTCTGTGCATGAGTCTTTATCTCAGTGAGTACTTCTTTGTGAGACCAGCCCCCTGAACTGCCCGGGCACTCCTGTAGTGCACGCCCTGCCCCCACGCAGTGACCAGCCCCGGGAGGCTGCTGCCATGTGGTGCATGGGTCTCCTCCTCAATCGAGAATAAACCGGAACTCAACCTGGATGGAGGGCCAGGGAAGGGCCTCCTTGTAGCATGAGGCTCCATGAAGGATGATGGTTGCAGGTCAAGGAGAAACCTCGTCTATATAACAAGAGGCGGCTTGCTTTCATCTGTTCACCAAAAGCATTTCTACACATGAGGGTTTGTGTGGGCTGCAGAGATGCCTTGGGTACGGCTTCTGCCATCCCTCCGCTGGCATCTGGTCCCTGGGCTCCAGCACAGGCCGAGTGTGTGTCCGTGGCAGGTAGCGGACGTCCACCCCTGGTCTCTGCTGTGGGAGATTTTGTCTTATTCCCACCCCTCCTGCTGTCACTCTCCAGCCCTAACCATCGTGGTCACCGAGTGGAGAACGAAGTTTCGCCGCGCGATGAACACACAGGAGAATGCTACACGGGCACGAGCGGTGGACTCTCTGCTCAACTTTGAGACGGTAACCAAGGCCTCGGTGGCAGTGGTGCGAGGCAGAGATGTGAAGGGCTGTGGCTGGGACCACTGAGGCTCATGAGAGCTGGGGGCAGGGATGCCCTCTGTGTGTGTTATTCAGAGTGGGGAAGGAGGGGTTGGAAATCCAGAGGAGGGGGAATGATCCGAGTACCACGTGCTGTGTCCACTCTGAATAACAACACTTCCCGTTCACCAGGTGAAGTACTATAACGCCGAGGGTTATGAGGTGGAACGCTATCAAGAGGCCATCATCAAGTACCAGGTGAGGGCGCTACTTGGAGGCCTCCCAAGAGCAGTGAGCTGGCCTGGCGCTGCCAAGGCCGAGAGGAGTAGAACTCGGGTGGGGAGGTCAAAGGTGCCTGGGCCTGGGTTTGAATTTGGTGATAGTCAGTGTGCCTGGGACATCCTCCCTTCTGTGTCATTGCTGCAGAGTTTGGAGTGGAAGTCAAGCGCGTCACTGGTTTTGCTGAATCAGACGCAGAACCTGGTGATAGGACTCGGGCTGCTCGCCGGCTCCCTGCTTTGTGCATACTTTGTCAGCGAGCAGAAGCTGCAGGTGAGGCAGGGTCAGGGACCAGATGGCTCGGGCCTGTGTCTGGGCCACCAGGCTCCTGAGTGGGCAGTGGGCAGGGGGAATGGGAGAGCAGCCTGCAGGCCCCCAGTGACCCGGTTGGCCCCCTGGCTCTCCACAGGTCGGGGACTTTGTGCTCTTTGGCACCTACATCATCCAGCTGTACATGCCGCTCAACTGGTTTGGCACCTACTACAGGTAACGCGATCCCTGGCCTCACCTGTCCCTGTGCGTTGCCATTTCCTGACTAGTCGGGGGGGCCCCAACCAAGCACCCTTCTTGCAGGATGATCCAGACCAACTTCATCGACATGGAGAACATGTTTGACCTCCTCAAAGAGGAGACCGAAGTGAGTGAAGCAAGCGGAGTGGGTCTGGGCTGGTGGGAGGCTGTGTGTTGTTTCTCATGTCCAGAGAATCCTGTACCAGGAATGGCAGCACACCCCGTGCACTCTTCCAGGTTAAGGACCTTCCTGGAGCAGGGCCGCTTCACTTTCAGAAGGGCCGGATTGAGTTTGAAAATGTGCACTTCAGCTACGCGGACGGGTGAGCCTCTCCCCTCTGCCTCCTCGCCTTTCCTGTTGTCACTTACACACTGCCTCACTGCCCATCCCACTCTGAAGCCCTGCTTTGGAGCCCACTGCTGCCTGGGAGGACAGCCTGGGCACGAGGAGGGCAGGGCCCAGGAGATGTGCTGATGGAAGGCGCCTGCTGACCACGCCCTCCCTTCCTTGTAGGCGGGAGACCCTGCAGGACGTGTCCTTCACCGTGATGCCTGGACAGACATTGGCCCTGGTGAGATGGGGAGCCAGCCCCTTGGCCCAGTCTCCTCAAGCCTCCCTCATTCAGCACCCATGGTGGCCCGTGACCCAGGCCGTGGAGCCAGAGAGCCCTGTCAGGATGGGTGATGGGACTAAAGGTTGCAGCCACTGTGGAGACTGGTGGCCTCTCAAAGAGGAAGTGTCAGAAGCCTGATCACTTTCCTCTCTGTGTCCGATGCATCAGGTTGGCCCGTCTGGGGCAGGGAAGAGCACAATCTTGCGCCTGCTGTTTCGCTTCTACGACATCAGCTCTGGGTGCATCCGAATAGACGGACAGGACATCTCTCAGGTGAGGGTCCCAAAGAGAAGGCTGATTAGGAGTACCTGTGTGGACAAATGGCAGGTGCTGGGTGTCAGCAAGAGCAAAGGGGTATGTCCCTTCTGCACGAAGCCGGAGGCTTTCTAGCACCATGTAACCTACAGTCCTGCGAATAGTGTCAAGGGGATGAACTCCACGTTGCCATCCGAGGTGCCAAGATGGCAGCAATCCAGGGAAGCCGTGGGGAAAGCATGTTTTCTTTTCTTTTGCCAGAGGGCACGTGTGTTCACTCAGAGAAAGGGAGAAGCCCAGTAGGAGCATGGTCACACCCCAATCCCTTCTCTGTTTCTCCATCCCGTGGGATTTGGGGCACACACACACACACACACACACACACACACACACACACCTGGCCTGTTTTTCAAGCCACCAGGGCAGAGATTTGAACCACATAGCTGGCTACATGTGATCTAGCTCTTGTAACCACTAAGCTATGGGCCCTGTATTCTTTCTTCTTTTTTTAAAATTTAAAAAAAAAATAATCATTTAACTTTATTAATTTTTTTAATTACTACTTAATTTTATTTATTCATTCATTCATTTTTAATTTGACAGAGAGAGATACACAGAGAGAAAGAGAAAAAGGGGAACAGAGAAAGCAAGCCACTAGGTCCAGGACTCCAACTGTGGTCTGCCATATGGGAGTGTCCAGCACCTTAACCACCACGCCACCTGCAGGTCCCTAACTTTATTTATTTATGTGCTTATTTTGATTTGACCAGAGAGAAAGAGTGAGAGAGAGAGAGAGAGAGGGAAAGTGAGAGAGCAAGCCATCAGGTCCAGGACTTGAACTGCAGTCAGCCATGTGGGAGTCCAGCACCCTTAACCACCATGCTACTTGCTGGCCCCTTTCTTTTTAATTTTTAATTTGCTAGATGGTACTCCCTGGAGACCAAAAGGAAGAAATCACCCTCCCAAAGGGGGATGGCCATGCCACCATCCTTCTCTCAGGATTTTGGACACGCACACATACATGCCCAGGGTGTCTTTCAAGACACCAGGTCCAGAACTTGAATTCCAGGCAGCCACATGGGGTCAGCACCTTAGCCTCCACACCACTGGCTGGCTCACGTATTTTCTATTTATAGATGGGGAAGCAGGCTCAGGGGTTGAGTGATGGCCCACACAGCTAGGATTCAGGGTGGTGATGGCAAGTTTTGTCCCTAGGGCCTCTTACCCCTGTCCTTCCTGCTAGCCCCTCCTCCCATCAAGGCCTAGGGGATCTGACAGTGCAGGGTGTGTGATCTTTCGGCCCCAGGTAACCCAGCTCTCTCTCCGGTCTCACATTGGAGTCGTGCCCCAGGACACTGTCCTCTTCAATGACACCATCGCCAACAATATCCGCTATGGCCGTGTCACAGCCGGGGATGATGAGGTGGAGGCCGCCGCTCAGGCTGCGGGCATCCATGATGCCATTCTGGCTTTTCCTGATGGTGAGGCTCCTCTGCAGAGTCCCCTCCCCTGCCCAGGGCTGTCCTCCTAGACCCTCTGACTTCTGTTCCATCCCTTCCTTACCCATCCGGTCACAGACACCAGGTTTATGACATGTGACTTGAGGGAGGTGGGGCTATCCACCCACAGGGTACGAGACTCAGGTGGGCGAGCGGGGACTGAAGCTGAGTGGGGGCGAGAAGCAGCGTGTCGCCATCGCCCGCACCATTCTCAAGGCTCCAGACATCATTCTGCTGGATGAGGTGAGGCTCTGGGCAGTACCAAGCCCCCTGCTGGGCACCGTTTCCCACCCAGGGTAGGTATCACAAGTCAAGGTTTCACAAAAACGCTCTCTAGCTCTCAAGGCAAATGGGGCCCTCTTTTATTCCTGAGGCCTCAGCTGGCAGCCTGCGCCTCCCTTCCACTGGGGGTTTTGGTGAGGGCAGTTTTACTTTCACCCCCTTTATAGGCAACATCAGCGCTGGATACCTCGAACGAGAGGGCCATCCAGGCTTCTCTGGCCAAAGTCTGTGCCAACCGCACCACCATCGTAGTGGCACATAGGTATGGGACTCCGGGACAGGGCCGGCTGGCATGTGGGCCCACTTTGGGTGGGGCAGTGGGTAACCAGTTTGTGGCCTCCCAGGCTCTCAACTGTGGTTCATGCCGACCAGATCCTGGTCATCAAGGACGGCTGCATCGTGGAGCGAGGACGGTGAGACACTCGGGAGGACAGGGCTTCTGGAGGGGCATCTCCCTTGCCCGTCCCCTCTGTCCTTTGTGGCTGATGGAAGGGTGCTTGGGAGGGAAAACTGGTGGCTGGTTATACTTTCCTCCTCGCCCCAGGCACGAGGCTCTGTTGTCCCGAGGCGGGGTGTATGCTGATATGTGGCAGCTACAGCAGCGGGGACAGGAAGAAGTCTCTGAAGACACTAAGCCCCAGACCACTTCACGGTGACAAAAGTTGTGGCCACGTTCCTCCCCAGGGCTAACTCAGAGGGGACTAGATGTAACCCTCCCCTGGCATGTCGCATCCTGGTCTTGGGGTTTGGTGCTAGCTACAGCAAGGAGAGAAAGGGACTTCCAGAAAAGCACTTTCTGGGGAAATAAAAGCATGGACTGTAGATGGCTCTCCGGCTTTGTGGTGTGGGTATCACAGTGCCCTCTGCCTTTAAGTTAGGCGAGCGTTCCGGACAGGCAGGAGTTTCTGCTCTGGGTGAGAGAAAAGGACACGCACTGCCTAGATGTCTGGGTGGCTGCCAAGATCCTTTATTCTTTCCAGGCACCTCCCTGCCCACTGCACATGGGGGCAGCCCCGGAGATGACATGAGAAGGGGGCTGAGAGTGGGGCCCGGCCAGCATCCACAAGGGCCCAACCAGGGAACAGTTCCTTGCCACTCTCCCATGCAGCTGGAGAGCTGGCAGGGCCTTCTGTCCGCTCTGCTCAGCAAGCTGTCTCCTGCTGCTCCCTGGAGGCAGCTTCCGCATCACTCCTGCTTGTCTCTGCACTCCAGCCTGCTCCGGGCCTCCTCTCCCTCCGTACCCTAGAGGTGTGAGGGCCATAGTCGTCCTCAGCTGAGCCTCCCTCCCCAAGCCCAGGGCCCTAGCACAGGCTGCAGTTGGACGGCTTCAAGCTGCGGCTCTGGGCCTGGAGCAAGGAGAGGGAAAGGAGGGGAAGACAGGGTGCAGGGTCAAAGAAAGGAGGGAATAGTACTTACTTCAGAGCTAAGCATGGCCCGGAACCGTACACAACCAAAGGATAGCCACCATTTCAAAACTCCCGCCACTGGGGAGAAACCGCCTCCTAACTTCTTGCTCCCTCCCAGTTCAGGATCCCATCTTCCTCCCACCCTCATACCTGCTGCCGTTGGTATTCTGCCTCACTGGCTGATAGTGCTTGTGCTAGAGCTAAGTCTTCTTCCTCTTGAGAACTGGGAGGAGGAAAAGCTTAAATTGGATGGTGGTACTGTCTGAAATGCGAGCATCTTATCTGCTACTCATCACAGTATTTCTAGGTATTACCTTAATCATAACAACCCTACAAGGGGAGGGTGTTTGTATTGTCTCTTTTACAGAGAAAATTAAAGCCCTATAGGTTAACTAACTTTTCAAAGGTCAAATAGTTCATCTTCACTTTGAGCCCGAGTTCCTAGCTATTAGCTTGCATTGGGTTGGGGTGGCCCCACCTCCCTCCCTCCAAATTAAGCCCTTGGCCACATCCTATGTCCTCTCTTTACCAGACAGTAACTACCTTGGGACCTGGGGTTTGGTCTCTGCCAGGGACAATTCCAGGGCTCGTTGCAGAGCCTCATCCTCACTCTGCAAGAGAGAAAGAAGACCAGCATAGCTTCCTTGGACTTGATTCTACATGGCTTTGTGATTGCCTACCCAACCTCTGCCAACTCACCAAGCCATTCTGCAAAGCAATCACTGGAGGGGCTGCCTGGGACGGAGACTGGGTTGTGGCTCTACGGCAAACATTCAAGAGGTGAAGGTCAGAGATGTGAAGGAGACAAAGGGGAGAGGAGGAATGGGCAGGCCTACCTGCTTGGAGAGGTAGAGGAAGGCAAGGTCCGACTCGGGCTGGGAATGGTGCTTGTAGAAGAAGCCTGACCTTGTGCTCTGGAGATGGCAGCAAGTCTGTAGAGGAGAGACACTTAGCAAGCCTTCAAGAACAAGCCTAACCCTCCAAGTTGTGTGTATGGGCAGGAGTTCCTCCACACAGTCTGGAAGACATATGCTTAAAAAAGAAGCTGAAGACCCCTAGCCAATGGAAACGGAGTTGAAGCTTCCTAACTTTTTGGTGGAGGCTGAGTCAGTTCCAAAGGATGGGACAGTCCCAAAGGCAAGTGGAGGACCGCATTACCCTGCACGGCTGGTTGGGTGGCCCTCCCCAGAGCAGTCATGGTCCAGGGGGTGGCGATGCTTGATACAGAAGTTTCGGCCACAGCGCTCACAAGTCAGTTTCATCATTTCTCGCTGCCGGCAGCCAGAGCGTTCACACTTATTGGTGAAGATCTGCAAACAGGTGGGAAGATTTGTTTCTGCTAAGATCCTGGCCCTTTCCTCTGGCCCCATCATAGGATTTAGCTCTTTGGGTTTCCAGGACCCCTAGTCCCAGCTGGGTCATGGCCAACCCCTCCAACACTTACTTTACGTTTCTGCTGTGCTGGATCAGAGCGACAATCTCTGTCAATATGCTCCCCAACAGCACGGTCAGGAGGCTCCCCTCTGGCTACAGGCACAGGCACATTACAGAGCGGACACACAGGTACCTGGATATCCTATAGTCAAGGGGCAGGGGTCAGTCTGTGGCTCACTCCCAGTCCAGCAAATCTCTGGTCGTGAAAAAACTTGGGATAAGCCTCTGCCAACATGCAAAAAAACACAATGTTCCCCACTGAATGAGCCACAGAAAGATAATAACGGAGCTGAAACGTGAGTCTGCCCGGTCCCAGGGTTCTGCATGCATCCTCCAGCCGCCCCCTTTCACTTGCAGGATCGCCCCCTCACCTTTTGGTAGGCAGATCCACAGTGATGCTGGGCGTAGGCCACATGGTCTGCGCAGAAGATGCCCGAGCAGGCATCGCACTTCAGCGGCAGAAAATCTGCAAGCAGTGGGTCGGATCGTCTGTCCAGCGAGACTCATGTCCTCCCCTCTCACTCAGGCCTTCCACTCAGGGGGAGGAAAACGCCACCCTTTCTACAGCACCCTACACCTGGTCCGTAGTCCACGATCGTCTTGCCACGCCCCCAGAGCCACCGCCCCCTTTGAGCCCCGCCCACCTCGGGCATTTCCAGCCCCGGAGCCCACCCTCAGCCCACCTGCAGTTCCCTGCCCCTTTCCGCTCGGCCCCACCCCCCGCGTGCTCCGCCCCTCACCCAAGCGCTGACAGCTCGGCTCGGAACAGTGCGCCCCGAGGTCCGGAAACTCCATCGCCCAGTCGGGCGGGGCCTGCTGGGAGAAGAAGCGAGAGCTGAGCCTCTTTAGGGCTCCCTCTCCGGGTCCCGACCGCGACCCTGCGCTCCGGGGGGCTCCCTGCCCCGCCCCTTCCTCTCCCCCGCCCAGTCCAGGTTACCGGAGCCTCTGCGCCTGTCTGCCCCTGGCTCCCACTCCTTCCCCGGCGCGCGCAGGCGCGTTGACGTCATCACGCAGGGCGGCCACGTCCGGCGCGTTCTCTCTGCCGCGGGGGAGCAACAAGTAGGGCAGAGCCCCGCCCTTCCTCGCGTTGCTACGCTGAGTTGGAAGGCTACCCCTAGAAAAATGGTTGTTCGAGGGAGGCTCGGGGATCCTGGGCACGCACATAGGTCCACGAAAGGCCTCTCTGAGGCCTCAGGGATGGGCGAAAGGGCGGCGATACCTAGGGGACGAAGATCTGGAGTGGCTTGGCGTCCTCCCTCCCTGTGACCATTTCGTTCACAGCCACGGCTGCACTTACTCTCCTCGAGCTGCAGATCCTGCCCATCTTTCTCTGCAGTGTGCATTTCCCTCCGGAGTTGCAGGTCCTTCCTCCAGGTTTCAGCTTTGGTGGTCTTCCTGTAAAACGTTCCTGGCCCTCCTCGGTCTGCTAGGGGCGCTTGCTGTGTAGTCTCCCATGTCGCCTCAATGGAATTAGATCCCCCTACCTCCTACACACAGAGATCCTGGGAAGTGGTGGACCGTGTTTACCTTGTTCCGTGCTAGGTCCCAGCACCTAACACAGTGCCTAGAACAGTTTGTTTCTCAGACTTGGGTGAGTCTAGATCACCGCCAAAGCTTTTAAAATACAGGTCCCTGGGCCATGGGGCTTCTGGTGCAGTAGGAAGCTCCCATTGCTCGTATACCATGCTTTGAAAAAATAGTAACCTAGAATAGCCTCAGTGCTTATTAAATGTTCTCCCAGCTCTGGGTCTGCTGCTTCCATCTTCACAGTTCTAAAGGTAGTGGAAATTAAAACCATCTTCCCTCATTTCTCAAGCAGGCCTAACCTCAGCTCTAACGACCCAACTGGCTTGACTTGGGTCATCTGCCCATCCTGTGCTGTGTCCTCCTGGGAGCCTGTTGCACCTGTGTGCAAGCTGGTTGAGCTGCGGAGGCTTTTTGCTAAGCCCTGAGACAGATCTATGAAGGCTGAGCTTGAGGTGGGAAGCCATCAGGGCTCACAGGAACTGTCCACTACAGTGGCAGCTGAATTTGGGCCCAGCAGTTGTGGCACAGGGCGCAGAGAACATCTATTTTTGTCCAGTAGATTCTTTCCTGGAAATTTGGAATTGAGATCAGGAGAATCAGAGTTCATTGATATAGGGGGGCCTATAGCATATAAGCGTGGGATGCCCACCTGCCATATTGCTATATTGTCATACTGAGTAAGAGACGGGAAAAGATACTGTTATCTGCACTCTGACTGATGGGACACAGTGAACTCCATAAAAAGGGGCTGGTCTTGGGACAGCTCCGTGCAGCAGTAGTAATGATGCATACTGCTCAAAAGATAGCTGTTCTCTGGGGCCGGCAGGTAGATGGTGGCTGAGGTGACTGGACTCCCCACATGGCTGACCGCAGTTCAAGTCCCAGATCTGGCAGCTTCTTTCCTTTCCTCACTTTCTCTCTCTCTCCATCTCTCTCTGGTCAACTTAAAAAAAAATAAAATAATGACAATGAATAAAATTAAGTACTTAAAAAAGAGAAAAGAGAGAGAGGGCTGATCTCACATGGCCACCACAATTTGAATCCCTGGTCAGGTCAGCCTGAAACAGTCCAGGCATGCTCTGCAGTGTCCAAGACCCCACCAGCTGGAGGACAGGTGGAAGGGGATCACAGTGTGACTAGCCTCTGTGGAGAGTGCTCACCTTTGGCTTTCTCTCACTTGTGTGTGTGCATGTGCATGCGCTCCCATGAATAATGGGGGGGGCAGCAGTTAGCGTAATAGCTATGTCGCTGGACTCCCATGTAGTCAACCGCGATTCGCATCCCAGACCCAATGGCTTAAAACTCATGCTGGGCGCGTGTGCATGCAATCCCAAGATCCCGAGAGGAGAACAGAGGAGAAGTGATTGCGGCATGGCCATCCCCCCTGGGGGGTGATTTCTCGCTTTCTCTCTCTCTGTCTCTCTCTGTCTGGCAGGCGCATGCACCCTATGGCAAAAACCTCTCCCCCCCCAAAAAAAAATAATAATGGGGGGGAGCCTTTTAAAAAAACAGGTTGATCTTATAGTTCATGTCCATGGGGTTAAGTCATATCAATACGTGACTTTCGCCTCCTCCCAAAAATCTATAATCCCCAACAGAACTGTGGTTAACTGCTGTTACTTCACTGATTTTACTCCTGTCTCTTAAAATAGTTACAAGTCGTCCCTTTAGATTCAGCCTATTACTCACTGGAAAAAAAAAAATTGTTTTTCTCTGACCTGAGTTTGGGAATCCAGACTAAAGGCAAACACTATCTGGGAGTATGGTTTAAAGTCCACACACCTTAAAACTGGATGTGCCAAATGTTTGTATACTTCAACCCTTCAAACTGCCACCATTTTCTATTATAAAAGTAGAAGAATATGGTATTAGGTAGGCTATGGGTTAAGCTGCTAAGCATGGGCTCAAAACAGCAATGGCATAAACAACAAAGTTTAATTTCTTGCTTGTATAATAATCAAGGTATGGCTGTACCTGTCAGGGACTTGGACGTTCCTATTTTTTTTTCTTTTTTTTTCTTTTTTTTTTGAGAGTTTTTTGTCATAGGGCGCGTGCGCTTGCCAGACAGACAGAGACAGACAGAGAGACAGAAAGCGAGAAATTACCCCCCAGGGGGGATGGCCACACCGCAATCCCTTCTCCTCCATTCTCCTCTTGGGATCTTGGGCACGCACGCACACGTGCCCGGCGTGAGTTTAAGCCGCCAGGTCCGGGACGCAAACCAAGGTCAACTACATGGGAGTCCAGCGACATAGCCATTACACTAACTGCTGGTCCCAGACATTCCTATTTTTTAATTATTATTATTATTTTTTTATTTTTGCCAGAGAGCATATGCAGTCACCAAAGAGAATGAAGAAAAGTGAGAAAGCACCCACCCATGGGAAATGCTGAAATCCCTTCTCCTCCATTTCACCCTCTTTTAGAGATTTTGGGCACACACATACTTTTTAGGCCCCCAGGTCTGGGACTTGAACCACTCAGTCGACCATGTGGTATCCAGCCCCCTGAATGACCATGCCACCAGCTGGCCCAAGTTTTATTTATTTCTTTCATGAGTGAGAGACAGGGGCGGTGGGGGAGGTGTGTCGGGGGGGTGTCCTCAACCAGGGTCTTGACACCTCAGTCCATTCCTAGCCCGTGGTCAGTCCCAGATCATAGGTGCATGTGTGCCACCAGCTGACCCCTGGACACCTCCCAGTTTGTTGTTCCACCATCCCTAAGATGTTGCCTTTGTCCTGTGGTCTCAGATGAGCCCATGTTTCAGACAGCAGAACAGGGGTGAGGAAAAGCCCCTTTTATTTGAAAGCATGTGTGGAGGCCAGCAGGTGGCGTGGTTGTTAAGGGTGCTGGACTCCTACACGGCTGACCACGGTTTGAGTATCAGACCTAGTAGCTTGATTTCTCACTTTCCCTCTCTCTCTCTCCTCTCTCTGGTCAAAATAAATAAATAAATAATAATAATAAATAGTTCTTTTTTTAAAAAAAAGCCTGTGTTCATCACACTTTTCACATGCATCACTTTGTACATTGCATTGTCTGGCAAGGAGTCATGATCATACCTAGCTCCAGGGAAGGTAGGAAATGAAATCTTTCAGGACCAGCAAATGTGTAATGGTTATGTCACGCAGCTGATCATGGTTCAAGTCCCAGACCCGGCAGTTTAAAGCTCATGCTGGGGGACCAGCAGATGGCGTAATGATTACATCATTAGACTCCCATGTAGTTGACCACAGTTTGAAACTCAAACCTGGTGGTTTAAACTCATGCCGGGTACGTGTGCATGTATGCCAAAAATCCCACAAGAACAGAGGAGAAGGGATTGTGGCGTAGCCATTCCCCCATGGGAAGGAGTGATTTCTTGCTTTCTGTCTCCTTGTGTCTTTCCAGTGAGCATACACACCCTATAACAAAAATCTCTCTCTAGGAAAAAAAAGTGCATATTGGGCACATGTACATGCATGCTCCAAATTCCAAGCGGATAATGGAGGAGAAGGGATTGTTGCGTGGCCATCCTCTTGGGGATGATTTTTGCATTCTGTCTCTCTATCTCTCCAGTGAGCACACCCACCCTATAGCAAAAATCTCTTAAAAAAAAAAAAGGAAAGGAAATGAAGTCTTTCACTGGATGGCCGTGTATCCAGATAAAATTCTAATTATTAGGTCAGTGACGGCAAACAGACAAGTGTTGCAAAAGGAAATAAAGGATGACTTTTATGATATTTGGACCACCCTAAGGTTGAAATAGGAAAACAGGTGGTGGGTCATTTAAAGTCACACAGAAGGGCCAGCCCATGGCCTGGTGCTTAAGGGAGCCAGATCCCGGATGGCCAACTGTGCAGTTTGAGTCCCAGACCTAGCAACTTTAGAAACATGCCAGGCATGTGTGCGTCCATGTCCAAAATCCCAAATGGAGGGAAAAATGGAGGAGAGATTGCAGTGTGATCATGCCCCATAGGAAGTGCTCTCTCTCCTCTCTCTGTCTTTCTCTGGCGAGTACATGTGCCTTCTGGCAAAAATTTTTTTGAAGAATGATTTTATTTAATTTTATGTATTTATTTGACCAGAGAGGGGCAGAGTGTGAGAAGGAAAGTGAGAAAGAAAGTGAGAAAGCAAGCTACCAGGTCCGGGACTTGAACCGCTGTTGGCCATGTGGGAGTCCAGTGCTTTTAACCACCATGCCACCTGCCGACCACCACTTCTGGCAAATTTTTTAAAAATAAAAATAAAAGAATAAAGTTATACAGCAGCCAAGATTCTGTAAAGCCTTTTTACAGTTTCTGAAGGTGAGAAAACAGGTCTGGGACTTGAACCGCAGTTGGCCATGTGAGAGTCCAGCACCCTAACCACCACACCATCTGCTGGCTCACCAAACCCTCGTTTTAATCATACTTCTCCAAGCAGTTGTGTTTTGCATGGGTCCTTTGCTTCCCCAGGTGAGTTTTAAATGGTCTAAGTTCATGTTTTTCAACTTTTTAACTACTAGCTATTT